TGGAGGGTCCCTGATAGGCCAAGGGGAGATCCCTGGAAGAGCTGGCTCAAGGGTTTCAGAAAACATCCTCCTGACCCTGTGCTGTGTCGGCCCACCTTGCACTCTTGAAAAAAACAGCTAGAAGACAGGTTTCACTTGAAAAACCTGCCACCCACAGTGCTCCAGCAAGAGTGGGGTGGACCAGAGTCCTGGCTTCTCATTCAGTAGCTGTGTGACCCATGTAATTCACTTGGGCCCATGATCCTGCCTGGAGAAGGTGGGTAAGAGATCATGGAATGTGAAGCATTCCATTTCTAGCACAGTGTTGGTACTGGAAGTTTGTGAACTGCTAGGATTTTTGTACAGTGTGCCAATGCTTTCTGCTGGTCACAAAGGACAGCCTGTCCATGTTCCTAGCCAGCTCCTTTCCCCGTGCTCAGGCTCCAGCTCTGTCAGTAACCTCTCATTATCCCAGCTCTTCACCTTCTCTTCTTCACCTGGAAGACTCTCCTAAGGATTTTAGCATCTTTCCAACCTTCCCAGCACTAGGATCTTGGTTCTTTGAGGGTAGAGACCTTGTCCACTTCACTCACTCTGTCTCTCTTGTGTTCAGAGCACTGCCTGATACAAAATAAGAGATCACTGAACAGTTTTTGGACCAAAATGACCTGACTCTTAGGAAACACAAAACGACCCTCCCTTGGCATCTTGTCTCATTTTACTGTTCTTTTCAACCCTTAAAAGTGTTGTCTCCAATTTTTCGCCTCCTAGACACCTCTCTGCTCATTCTAGCTTGGTCTCTACATCACCAGGCAACTGAAAGCAGCCCTTGGTATGGTCATCAATGACCCTCTGGTGGCTAGACTCAATGAGTCCACTCTGGTTTTCATCTTCCTTGACTGCCCATGTCCACTCTCTCCTAGAACACTCTCCTCCTTTGTGTTGCAGGACTCCACACCCCCAGGGTTTTCCTCTAGCTTATCTGTCCTCCTCCTGGCACATCAAGTCCACGCTCAAGACCTCACTTACCATTTTGGTGGTAACTTCAGTCACTTTTACCCCTCTGCTCCAGCCTAATCCTCCCTCCCCAGTTCCACTCAAACACACCTGTGGTCTTTTGCTCCCCTAAACCTGATTCGCCTCTGGTGTGACCTTTCCTAGTTAATAGTTCCACCATCCACCCAACTGTCTGGGACCCCAAACCTGAGAGTCATTTGAGATTCCTCCTCACTTCCAACCCAATCATTCACCATGCATAGTACTGCCTTTAAAAATATAGAAGCCAGTGTTTCTTCCAATATGATCCAAAGACCCCTGCAGATGGATCAACTAGGTGATTTGGCAGCAAGCCAGACTCCTGGCTTCACCCTACATCTAAGAAATCAGACTGCTGGCGGAGACTGTGGAGCTGCATTCTAAATAGTCAGATGGTCCTGAAGCCCATGGATGTTTGAGCAAAACCTTCTCAACAGTCTGTTTCTCTCTGACTCCTCTCATTCTCATCTTTTGCCTGGATGCCTGCAATACTCTGGCTTCCCTGACCACTCTGATTCTTGATCCCTTGCAGTTCGTTTTCCACGTGGCAGTAGCACAGGCCTGGTCATGTACTCTTTTTGGAAATTTATTTCTTTCTTCCTAGAGACACAGCGTGTGAGAGAGAGAGAAACAGCACCCGCAACAGGGCTTTGAGAACACAATCCACCACAGCTTCTGCCACCCCAGGGATACTCAAGGAGGTCTCTAGATGTGAACCTGGAGCCTTCCCATGTGATCATCTTTGCACAGCTTGCAGTATGGCTCCACCATTATCTTGCACCAGCACTCCCTGCTCCCTAAAGTGCCCTTCAACAGCCTCCTGTTATCCCCAGCATGAAGCCTGCAGAACTGACCATGACCAGCACAGCACAGCATGGGCTGACTTTGCTTTGCCTTGACAATCTCAGCTTGCCCAAGTTCTCCCTGCACATATCCTGGCTTCTGTTTCCTTAGAAACATGATGGGCTTGCTTGGTTCTGGGCCTCTTCACTTGTCCTTGCCCCTGGCTTGTCTTCCATGCCCTTTACCTGGCTGATGTCTACACAGCCTCTGCTTTGGTTGGCCATGGCTTCCTCGGAAAGCTTTCTCCAGAAACACCCACATCCAGTCTCCCAAACTTCCCCCAGGGTGATGTTCACCATGTGCTTGCTTGATACCACCCACATCAGCCATGTTCCAAACCATCAGGCTGCTAGAGCCTGCCAGGTCATTCATCTCCTTCTGGAGCCAATGTCAATCCCAGGATCCAGGGGTGCCAGCACCCAAGGACACAGCCAGTGGACTTGTGTGGTTGAGCATAACCAGCCTGATATGAAAGGCTACTCAGCCTCTATTTTTATAGCATATAAATCCCGGTGAAACTGAATCCATCACTCAGCTTGAGCTCTTCAGAGAAATTGTTGAAAAGTCACCATTATTGGAGATTCCAGTCTCAGAATCCCAAAAACAATGTTTTATCTATTTGAAAAAAAAAGGGCAAAAGAAAGAAAAAAGTCTAGGGGCATAAACATTTTGTTTATTCTTCAGACTTTGGATTCTCATATCACTTTCCCCAGAAGGATCCTAGGAAAACCATCCTGAAGCGTACTTCCCCTCCTCCCACCTCACTAACCCAATGATGGCCTTTGGCAGCTGGCCCAGGCCCATCCAGCTATGGTAGGGGAGAAACTGTTCTGGGGCGTGGTTTGAGACTGGCAAGGTGCCCCTGTCTTTGTCAGCATCTCAGAGAAACCATAATGCCCAACCCCACAAGCTTTTCTGGAGTGTATATATGGTACTCAGGTCAAAGAAAGGAGCCACGAAACCTCTCTGTGATGAGTGGACTGACAGGGGCTGACCTGTGCTCCCCTCCAAATTCACATACTAAATCCTCATGCCCAACACCTCAGAATATGACTGTATTTGGAGACCGTCTTTAAAGAGGTGATTAAGGTAAAATACGGTCATTAGGGTGAGCCCAGTGCAATGTGGGAGATGAGGACACAGACCCCCACATAGGGAAGATCATGAGAAAACACAGGGAGAGAACGGCATCTACAAGCCAAGGAGAGAGCCTCAGGAGGAGCCAGCCCTGGCAGCACCTTGATCTCGGACTTCCAGCCTCCAGAACTGTGAGAAAACACATCTCTGTTGCTTAGGCCCCTGGGCCTGTGGCAGCCGTAGCAAACTAACAAATGGAGCTGGGGATCTGGGTGGAGAATAAAGTCAGTCAACGCATTGAACATTAGTAGACATTTGCTGTGAGTCAGGCACTGGGCTATGCTCTGGGAGAAAAGTGATGTGAACAGTTATACATGATCCCTGCCCCTATGGAGTTAACAGTTAGGAAGGGGGAGGCAGGGGTGCTGGAGGGATGCACAGTCAACACAAAAACAAAAGCAAAGTGGCTCTTCTCTGAAAGAGCCCCACAGTGCCATATGCATGGACTGGGCTATAAAATAAAGCTCATTATAAACCTCACATCAAAAGTTTCTTGGGAGGATCATCTCAGTCGATGCATGTACAGGGCCCGGCACATGCCAAGTGCTCGATAAATGCTGGCTATGGTATTTATAAGCACAGTTCACAGATCTTCCTCACTACCTTCCTATCCCCTCATTCTGGCGCCAGATGGGAAGCTGGGAAGGGTGAAAAGAGGGGGCCAACAGATGGCATGGCGGTCAAGGTGCTGGACTCCCAGACCTAGCCACTTGAAACTCACTCTGGGCGTATGTGCATCCATGCCCAGAGTCCTGAGAGAGTCGAGGAGAAGGGATAGCAGTGTGGCCATCCCCCACCACCACCCTGGAGAGGTTGATTTCTCACTTTCTTTCACTGCCTCTCTTTCTCTCTCTGGCAAGCACACACACCCTATAGCAAAAGCCTGAAAAAGTGGGAGTGGAGGGTCTTACCTTCCAAAGCCACACCCCTGAGGCACAGGCTCTGCCTCACACCTGATTCCCAATCTCTGCTCCAACCTTTTTCTAGTTCCCCTCTCTCCCTGCCGTGACCCATTAAGTCCCTGCCCTGACTTGCCCTCATCTTCCATGAGCAATTCATGTACCTCAACGGGGTGATAGAAAAGGGAGGTCTAGTCTATTGGATGGTGTCCCAGGAGTAGTTTCTTCCCTTCCATAGTTGGATAGGATCTTCTTGTTTATTAGCTTCCTTGCATGGACTAGCCTGGGACCCTAAGCCACAGCCTAGATGTTCCAAACCCAGGTCAGAACATGACCCCATCCGTGTACTGGGTCTCCTCCAAGAGCCTTTGCTTGACTTCTCAGCATCACCAGAAGGTCAGCATCACTAAGGCACCTAAGCCTGCCTGGGACAAGAATGAAACTCAAGGCCTCTGGCTGCTGTTCCTGGCATTTAACCTCCACATGAAATCTGAATCTCGTTGCACTATTCCATCACTGCCAGGCTTTCCCTCCGAAAGGGCAGATGACTTTCCTGCCTGGGGTGACACGACTTGGGCCAGCACCTTCCCATGGCTGTACCTCTCTTCACACCCACAGCTGGCAGTTTCTGGGAAGCAGGCTATATTTCCTCCATACCCCTGACTTTGCCTTGCATCCAAGAAGTCCACCAGGGTGAGGCCTGAATATCGTGTCTCACCTACATGGGGCCCAGGATGCTGTGTCTCCCCCAGCCTCGCCCCTGCCCCCACTCCTGAACCAAACAAAACAACCTTCTAGCAGGAGACACCTCTGTTCATAACCAGGGATCAGGTGACAAGGAAGTTGCTAATGGTGATCTATGACAGATCTTACCAACCTCATCCCAGGGGAGGGTCAGGAGATCAGGAGATCATCTTACACACCATGAGGACACACTTTAGGACCCAGGACTTCACTGCTTCCTGTTCCTAAACTGGTCTGGCCTGTTTCCTTATCTACTGTCTCACTTTTGCAAAAACAAATGTGACCCACAGCCACCCACCCACCCCCACCCATGGAAGTGTGGGAGTCAGCAGGGATCCCAAATGGATGAGGACAGGATGCCAGTGGATGCCATTTGCTCTTTATTATTATTCATTGTCTTCTTGTACAGAAGGAGACAGAATTTAACAGCTAAATTCAACAGCCGTAAGAAGAGCAATAGAGAAATCAAAAGCAAGTTTGCTCATCGCCCCCAGGCTCCAGTGAGACACTGACATTGCTCAATGTACAGATTTCCCAGCTGACGTGGGTCAATGCATGAATACGAGTGGTACCAAAATGAACCCGGTTCACAGTAATAATTTCTATAAGCTCAGTTGCACATACCGGGGTTTCCACTGTCACGAATTCACAATTACAAAGTCAAAAAGCAGGTGTGTTCAGGCCTGGGAAAGTGGCATCAGTAAGGGAAGACTGATCAGGACGCAGAAGCAGCTGGCGGATTTGTCCCAGTCCTGAATCTGTTAACGCTGGGGCTGGGGGTGGGAGAAGGGCAGGCGCTGCTCTGTGGTCAGACCTCAGCACAGTGGAACAACTGTTGAGGCATTGAGCCCGAGGGCGTTTGCTGTTGGAATATCTTTGTCAGAGAAATTCTTGCTAGAGAGAGAGTTGCTGCCCACAGCCTGTGAAAGGGAAAACTCCCTCCCAAAGTTTGAATATTTGGAGGTGAATGATGGCAAAACACCTGCTTCACAGAATATTTAGAAAGATACACACTTGAAATTGCAGTCTAGTCACAATCTGTTATTCATAGGGTGAACAAAGGAGTAGCGCAACAGGCTGCAATACGCCAGATCCCACGACAGAGAGAACAAGAGCCCACCCTGCACAGACAGAAGGAGCCTTACAGACGAGAATTGCTGAACCCTAAAACTGAAGGCACAGTGAAGGGATCCTTAATGTCTTGAGCCTTTTCTTTGTAAAAGGTACTCAATTTAAACTGGATTCCTCTTACACAGAAGACCCTGATATTTGACTGGGGGAAGAATGTTTCAAATATTTTTATGTAGCAAGAATCCCAGCTACTGTGAATGATCTCAAGTTGTGATTTACTCAAAATTCTTTATTATTGGGCTTCGAATTAAGGGGCTTTTACTGCAGTTGCAAGCAGTCTGATTACAGAACTTTTACATTTTCTAATTAGACTGATTAGCATCAATGGCGTTCATAGGGAGGATGTGCTTGCTTTTGAAGCTGCAGAATCCTTCATCCCAGTGTCATTACTTGTCAAGCTAAAAAAGCAGCCCAGGCCAGAGGCTTCACTGCCAGGCCCCTCTGTCTCAGTCTTGAACGTGACTTTGTCCACACAAGATGCTCTTAGAAAGACAGCCTCAGCTCTGAGAGGTTCTTTTCATGATTTCACTCTTAGCCCACAGCACAATCGAGCTGTGGTGTTGGCATTTTTTCTTTTCATGGGATGTCATTTGGTTGTCAAAAGAGCCACTCTGGCCGGGGATAGGGGGTCTCTGGTCCACGGCTTCCTGTTCTGAATTACTCATGTTCGAGCTATCCAAAAGACAGCATCCACCAACTCAGGCAGGTTCCTGTTTTTCAAAGCACCCTAAGGAATACACACTAATGGCATTGGGGCTGGCAAGTAGAACAGGTCCTGGCCTCCGGTCTGAGTGCTCGAAGGCACTGTGTCTCGCTCTGATGGGGTGCACGCGGCTGTGGAGCTGGTGTGCCCACACTAGGCAGCTGTATGCTGCATGCTTTCTTTTGTGCTTTCATTTTGAAAATCCCAGGTAAGGGGAGCAGGGGAGGGACAGGAGTGTGATTCCTGTTTTTAAAAGTTTCTGAAAGTTTTTGGCTACAGACAAGTGACAGTCATATTTCAAGGAATTTTAAAATCCTTTTCTTTGAAAGAAAGAAAGAATGATATGAATAATATCTAAATGACCAGCCCCTCCATTCCCAAAGTCCATAGTCAAATATCTTTCCAAAAAAAAAAAAAAACAGCCCCAGGAGAGCTCAAATTTCCTCCAGCTGCTGACGCCCACAGAACAGGAGCTGAGGCCAGGGGCACCGTGCCAAAAGGGCGTGGGAGTAGGGGCCCCCAGAACAGAGGCCCACAGGACGGAGCTGCTTTGTCTTCTCCTAATGCCTTTTGTAAGGCTCAGAGGTGGTGACTTGAGGAGGGCTCCGACAACTGGTCTCACTTCCCTTGCTCAAGGCCCTGTCGTCAGGCTGCCCAGCCCCAGGACAGACCGGATCCCTCCTGGTACAAATATAGCTGCACACCGGCTATTGTTTCAGATAAGCAATAAGAAAAGGCAACGTGCACACGTGTACACACACACACACACACACACACACAAAGTGCAAAACAACAAAACTGTGACTACTACTGAAGAGTTAGCATTGTATCAAATTAACGTCCATTTAAGGACAGAGTTGAAAAGGTATGTACAGGGCATTCATAAAATCCAAGTGTGCACCGCGAGGAGCTACGGTACTGTCTACTGTACAGTCTTTTTTCCACGATAGGCTGCAAAACCTTGTCCCAGAGACCACAAAGCAGCTCCGCAAGGAAAAACTCTGTGAAGCACCTGACTCAGACACTACAGGCCTTAAGGAGCTGACTATCCTCGGCCATAAGGAATACAGGCCACCCACCATGACCCAGGCTTCTGCTTCCTGCTCTTCCCACCTTGGGGCTTATCAGGGAAGGGCCCCATACTTGCTGCAGGCAGTGGGCATTTTGGGGGTATTCACTTTGGTTCTGGACAGTGTGGCCCAAGCCTGGCTCTGTGGTAACTGGGGAGGAGACACATAGGGGGAAGTAGCCTCTCACTGCTCCCAGTTCACACTGGGCACCTGCTCGAGAAACTACTGTGGCAGTCCAGGCTGGGCCCAGAGTCTCAGGTTTTCCCAGGTCCTCCAGGATGGCGGAATGGGATGGGTCCAAGCCTCCATTATGGGAAAAGTAGTGGCCTACTAGGCTAAAAATCCTTGTGAGGAGGGGCAGGAGTACAATGTGAGAGGCCCAGGGGAGGGAAAGAGAAAGGAAGGAAAGGTAGAATGTCACCTGGTCAGCAACTCTGCCATCAGGGAGTCTGGGAGGAAGGAGAGGGGACAGAAAGGGTCAACTGGCAGGAGACGAACTCCCTAGGTTGAGATACATCAGAGGCATACGAGGGCCTCAGCTAGGCTGCTCCCCTAAGCCTTCACATTGCTAGGAGAATCTTCCTACGGTCAAATCTCAGTAGCTCCCTGGTGTTTCAAGCACTCCACAGGCATGATTCACTCAGTCAGCCTCCAGTGCACCTGTGAGGTAGGGGAAAGACAGAAAACCCCAGCCACAGGGCTGGGCTGTCCCGGTTGGCGGCCTCGCTGAGATAACACAAACCTCCTGACTCAAAACGTATGCTGGGGCAAGTAACCAGGAATCAGGGGACTCCAGAAGCCATGTATGACCTCGAGATAGGGCTGCATTCAAGGACTAAGTCCTGGTGTCTGCCTTGGGGGGCTGTCTAGACAGAGAGAAACTTGTCAACTCAGTGGGTTTCCAACTGCTGTGGTTGCCAGTAGACTCAGGCTGTGTACTCTTCTGGCCCCACAACAATCTGCTACATCTTTTAAAGCACCACAGAGGAAAAATGGTTTGGCGGCAAGGCCAGGCGAAAGAAGATGGGGGTGTGGGAGGTGGCATCAACAGTGCTTTTCACACAGTCACTGCCAGTGCCAGTTAAAGGGCAGGTCAAAGCCTCCGTGAAAACAGCCCAGCACCTGCCAAAGCACAGCGAACCCCAGACGAGCCTTCAACCCAGGTTGAGGGCTCCCCCACAGAGAAAGGTTCCAAAAGAGACACTTAAGGCCCTTCTACCCAGGTGAGCATGCTCATGAAGGGGAAGGCATTGATGTGAAATTCTAGTTTGACTACTTATTTCCCAAAAGAGAAGAAGCCTAAGTTCAAAGTCAGAGCATGGGGCCAGGGGCCCAGCTCATAGCTTAATCAATCTCATGAGGAGGAAACCAGCTCTCTGTTGCAGCCTGTATGCAAGCCATTTAGAGGCTAGGGGCTTCATGGCAGGCTCAAGAGCATCAGGTCTCCCCATGACAGAGTGCTCAGGGGTAGAGTGGCCTCAGGCTCGTGGGTAGTATTTTTGGCACTGCTGGTGCACATGTCTCGGGATCCCAGCTCTGGGGGAGACTGTGTGTGCTAGAGATGGCACGATAAAGTTCATGCAGGCCCCCAGGGCAATGTGGAGGAGCAGGTCTGCTACCCAGCCCCATCCCACCCTCACATACCAGGTCCCCCGGTCAGGAGTGGGGAGTAGCCTAGGAGGAGGCCTATGTCATCGATCCCCCTTGGTCCTACTGTGTGTTGTGCTGTGGCCATCACTTCCCAATTCGTCAGTACTATTTTCATTATTTATTGTCCAATCCTGTCCCTGTCTATCAAATGTAAGCAAGGACAGAAAACACAAAGCTGTTGAAGAAGAGGGATGATGATGAGCTGACTTCTCTCTCCCCACCATGGCTCGGGGTTCTAGACTCACGTTGTTCTCTAGCCAGCCCCGCAGCCCCACAGCCCCACAGCCCTGCAGCCCGACAACCCCACAGTCCCACAGCCCTGGGCTGAGCCTATGGACATTCTGGCCACAAGCAACTCAGTTGGGGTGATTCCTTTGGCATAAGAGAAGCCAGTTCCTGGAAGGAAGACAGGACACTGGGGATCTGGGGGACTCTCTTGTATCATGCATGTCCCTTATCCACCCCCTTCCCCAGCTGTCTCTGACAACTGACTTCCCACAAACCTATGTTGAAAAAGTATTTGGCAACAAGGAGGCTAAGGCTGTTTTGTGGTGGCACAGTCTTTAAAAAGTTAAAAAGAAAATCGGAGGCCATGAAAGAGGCCATCACACAGGGCAGGACATATCCCACTACTTGTCAGAGCCAGGGTTGGCAGCCACGATCTCCTCATACTTCGGAGGTGGGTCACTGTAGGAGATGCTTGCCTCCTCACTGCTGCTCTCCTGGGGTGCAGTCACCTCCTCATAGGATGGGGGTGGGGTGGCACTGGACAGTCTGGAGAGTGAGAGCTCAGGGAGGTAGAGAGTGCTCTCGAGCCGGACCGTGGTTCTGCCTCCCCGGTTGGACCCCAGAACTACCTGAGGGCTGCTTCCTGCCTCGCGGTGCCCACTGGACTCCCCCTGGCTATGCACAGTGCCCCGGTACACCATGACCCGGGGCAAGCTGTGCCCAGCACGGCTGGCTAGATACCGGTTCTGAGCGTAGGAGGGGTGATGACGGGTTGCCTTCTGCAGCTGGCACCTCCAGATGATGAACAAGGCGATGACGATCAGCAGTGCCACCCCCAGAAGGGGAACCACCACGTACATGGCATCTGAGCTCTGCGAGGGGTCGCGGACAGAGTAGACTGCATTCGGGTACCCCTTCCAGAACTCCATCTGCAAAAGAAGAGGGGGCACTGACACCTGGCACAAGTACCCAGGGGCTCTCATTTGCCATGCGTGCTCTAGGCGGGCCCCATGTGGGCAAGTCTACAGCTCTCCCACCCTCCCCCATCACACAAACCTCAGGGAACCCCCAGAGAGAATGATGCCCCTAAGTGAGGAGACTTTCAAGGGTCACGCAGTGGCAAGGGAGGACATTTTATCTGCTCCACTATGGGCTGAGCAGTGTGCCTCGGGCAGGTGGTTTCCTTTCTTGCTTCTGACTCATCTGAGACACCAGGACCTGTTCTTCTGATTCCTGAGGCTATCTCTCCACCCCGAACCCAGGCCCAGGGGCTACGTGCCGTTTTCTCTTTGTTCTCAAACACTTCCTTGACCTCCTCGTAGCTGCAGATCTCTTCCATGCACTCTCGCTCGATGGTGCCCTGGCGCAGCTCCTCCAGGAACTCATTGGCGCGAGGAAACCGTTTCAGGACGGAATGGGCATTCTTGGCCTCCAGAAACACTGAAGAGAGAGCTGCACTGAGACCTGGAATGTGCAGGTGCCCAGGAGCTCCTTCAAAGCAGGTGGCCCCAGAGACCGAAGCACAATTATGGAGGGAAACAAGGCAAAGTAAACAGGCAAGACTCCAGGGTTCCAGCCTCAGGATGTGGCTGGTCTTTCGTCAGAGGGCTAGAAGGGCTGTCTCTGGTGACACGCCTGTCCTATCTGGACTACCACACACCCAAGAAGGTGCAGGCCCCTGCTGAGATGGAGGGAAGCAGGAACCAGTTATGAAGGAAGTGCACGTTGCACAGGAACCAAGAAAAATAAGAACCTGGAGTGCTGCAGTTGCTAAGGGACAAATACCCAGTATCTTCTGCATTGCCTTGAACAGAAAAAGTTGGAGTCCTTGTCGTGAGAATGTATTGCCTTTTGAGGCTAATGCTGGTGAGACTACTAGCAGATAATCCACGAGATTCCATCAGGTTAGTGTCCCTCCACCTGAACTGGCTGCCTGTGCCATCAGATCACCTGGCAAGCAACCCACATCAGTCCCAGACCAGGACTCTTTGCTGGCAGCGGTCACGCTTCCCCAGACCCGCAGGCCTGGGGGAAATGAGCACAAGCTCTAAAAGGGAGCCCAAGAGTTGACAAGAAGAAGGTGCCACTCGGGCAATCAGAGAGTGGCTGCATGGCCACCTTGGGGAAAGGCAAACTGGGCAGGACTTGAAAGATGGTCAGGCGCCTTTCCCATGAGCCCTAGGCATGGCCCCAGCCTGGAAAAGCTCACCTGCCATGTTGTTCCCTCAAGTGCAGCGTCCCACTTGCCTGGCAAAGGAGAAAAACAGAGTTGCAGTGAAAGCACACCCAGAAATCTAAGGAGTACCCTCTTGCCCTGGGAGGTGACCCCCACTGGCCTGATCAAGAGTGAATGCAGCACCCTGTGAGGTACTTTGCCCTCCCTGTGGCCACTCACAGCTCCTAGGGCTTCTCAGTCTTCTCTTGAGCTGCTCTCCGGAGCTCTCCAAGGCCAAAGCAAACCTCCCACCTCCTTCCCCCAAGAATCTAAGGAAAAGGAAGGGCAGGCAGCCTAAGGCTCCTCCTTCCTCACTCCCCTCAGTGAGTCTTTGCACCTTCGAAATGAAAGGAGCTCAGAGACAGATGAGGAAAGGGGGTCCAGAGAGACCCAGTGCTAGGCAAGGTTAAGCAAATCGACAGTGACACAGGCAGAACCTGAATTTGGTGAGTCCCAGATACCTCTACTGACACAGCAACTCCAATCTCTAAAGTCATGCCTGGCTGGCACTACCCACAGTGATCTTCCCTGGCCCCACGTTCTGCAAGGTCAGAGCCCCCATGCACTGCACAGCCACATTCTAACCATCCCTGGCCAAACTCATTGGGCCCAAACCCAGAATCTTCTGGAACCAAGCATCTTTCCTTTGTTTGCAATAAAGACCACAGTGGCAGAGTAAGTAATAAGATACGAATTGAAATGATCAAAACCAAGACCCTAACTAGATGAGTCACTTGTAATCTGAGCTACTGTTCGAAAGCCTTCTGCTAAAGAGCTATCCAGCCACCATGAGAACCATGGTACAGCACACTGTTCTCCCCTTCCCCTCAACACAACACACATGCCCAGTCGCACACATGTTCTGGAGAACTGGCCCAGCTGTTCACATCTGGGAGTAATCACCCCCCTGCTCCCCTTCACAAGCAGCAGCTCTGGTTTTATGACCAACTGGACAGAAGACATGTGAACTGTGTAACTCATAGTGCTACCCTTTTCACCTAGACTGCCAGGAAGTTCAGTGTCAACAGTGACAGTCAAGCACAGACATCCTGAGAGCCCAGCTGTTAAGCACATATGTTTCTCTCCTGGGATGTGGTGTACAGTTTTCTATTCATATTTTCAGAGTCTTGTGCATTTTTATTATATCTTTTAATCCTCTTGGCAAACAGGTTGGATATTAATCATAAACTTAAAACTAAAGAAACGCAGCACATCTAACATCCATCTGTGGAAATACCATGTCAAGGGGCTTTCTCTTTTGAACATCACGTGATCCTACCCAAAACCATCAACATGTGACTGTCAACCGACGGGACCCGCTATGGTGAGAAGGGTGGTCCTCAATGTTGACAGGATGGAATGTTATCTAGAAACACTACTTCCCTCATGATCTCTGAGGTTCATGTGTGGAGGGTGTGGATGTAAAATGCCAAATAACAAGGCTTTTATCATTGAAGAAAAATGGAACTGTTTTTTGGTGTCGGGTTTGAAAAGATAGTAAAGACTGTTCTAATAAGGGAAGATAGGAAAACAGGCTTGGTTGCTTATTGAAGAGAACTGCAGTGTTTACAAAAAATGTTTATGTGGTAAAATTACGTAACAGCTTACATATGGTCGCCACTTTTGTACCAAACCCAACCCACTTGGGTGCGACTTGGGTGCTCGTACACCCATACATATCATGGATCCGACTGTGTATTACCCTGACACCTGGGAAAGTCATTAGTTCCTTGCTAAGCTTCAAAGAAGCGAGGAACTGCCCAAACGAACGCCAGTTACCCACTCCACTGGTAACTCTGCAGCGACCCCATCACTGCTGCTGCAGCATTCCATGGGGCCTCCTCCTCCCCTCCCCAAAACTCAGCGCCTGCTTCTTCCCCTATAAATACACCATCAATAGGCAGTTATAGTTACTATGGCAACAGCGAGGAAGCAAGCGTGGGGCTCCACGACAGAGAACACCGCTGCCGGCACGCATGTGCACGCTCCTCCTGCCCCTGGTGGCTACTGGAAAGCTGACTGTAGGCCGAAGGAATTTTTAACCCACTCCCCACAGGAACACAGCTGAATCCCGGCGGCCTGGAAGGGGAGGCAGGCCTGAAACTGGCCACCACAAAGACCTTCCTGAACCCCATCCACCCCAGGCTGAAGCTTCTGAATCACGGCACTCTGGGACAAACCACTCCCAAAGTCCCTCACATGGGCAGTGGCGGCCACAGGCGCACCGGGTGG